GACTCCAGTCGTTGTGCCCACAGGTTCATTGGAACGCGCAAGCCCCCTCACCATGACAAGGTGACAGTCCATCGAGGGGGTATATAAGCTATATAACCCCCAGGGGGTTGACAATGGTGGGGTACAAGTGCTCTAAATAAATAAATAAATAATCTAAAAGCAAAAAAGTTTTTAAAAATGGATGGGTTAATATTTCTGAATTAAAGTGGAAAAGTGTATAACTTCAAGAAGGTTGATACTATAGATATATACATTTGTATAAGAAGATTTATTATGTGTAGACCCTATGTGGATGATAGATAATTATAATAAATATTTACACTTATATTGCTAATATACTAAAAAAAAGAGATTGACTTTAAGATATGTATATAGTTCACTGCCGTCGAGAGTAGAAAAAATAAAGTTTCAATTAGTTAATGGATAAAATAAGCAGAAGGAATACTATACAGAATTGGAAGAGAAGAGAGAAGGGACAATATAAAAGAAATCAACCAGATCCTGAAAGATCATCTGTTACTCTTGTTAGAAAAGATGTCATAGTTGTAACATTTTTCATCTTACTTCACTTCCTCCTTATACTAAAGTATATTTATAATGACCCTCCCTCTTCCTCTGTGTCTTTGACGATACAATAAACTCATGTGTAAAACTATTTAACTAACATGGCTCTGTAACTCACATACTATAGCCTGTGATGTTTCCCATCTTTCCCTTCTTTTTATTTTTTTAATTGTTTATTTGAGTTATTTTTTCCTCTTTTTTGAAAACAAAATAAAAACTTATTTATAATAAAAAGAAAGTCAAAGCATATATAGGCATGTGTTTACATTTTGTTTTTATTATTATTATTATTATTATTATTATTATTATTATTATTATTTACATTTCTATCCCGCCCTTCTCCCCACAAGGGGACTCAGGGCGGCCTTACACAAGACACTGTAGCCTTTAGCAGCTGAGTATAGTTTATATTGTATATGTGGACCATTCTGAGTATAAAGGTGGTTGTAGTTAAGTGGGCTGAGAAAATCTAATTGGGCTGCTGTGTTTAGAAAATCTTCCCCATCACACCTTAACATGGAGTGTTTTGAAAAGTTCTGGCCTCTTCTATTTATTTCCATTTCCTAGTAAGTGGTCTGTGTCATTAACACTACAGGGCTGAATGGTCTTCGGTGGTCTTCATTTTACCTAATGCTATTGTGAAAGCAGCAATTACAATTAGCTCATCTGATTTATTGAATAGCACTGGTGATCTTGGAAGAACATTCTCTGCTAGTTCACATCTAAATGCTATAGCTGACGCTATGAAGAATTAATGCTGAGGACATATGTTGGACATCTCCTTGAAGACTGGAAAACAAGAAAAAGCAATGCTTTAGTTTGAGTCCTCCCTGCAGACAATATGCATAATGTTTGTGTGGAATGCCTGCACTTTTGTTCACCTTTCCATCTGTGCTGTATGTTGCAGTATTTTCATTTTAGGCATCTTATTTGTGTTATGTTATGGGCCACCCACTCTAATATTATCTGTACTCCAAAATGTTATACATTCTTGCCTATTAATTCAACAGATATGATTCTATTTTTCTTCCTCCTTTGATGTAGAAATATACTCTCAACCTAGTTCATTAAAATGTGGATATTTAGTTGAGAGAGGAAAGAAGATCATTGAAAAAGTCTGTATATAAGGAAAAGTATGTGTGTGTGTGTGTGTGGGGAGTAAGAATGAAGATAAGTTAAAGCTGAGGATTACATGTAATATGAATGAGAATGTAATTTTATAATCTTTTTTTGTGTGTATTGAACACATATTCTCTGCCTAGTAAGGATTATTTCCATGCGATAAGATGGTAGCTTTGATCAAGCAATTATGTGATCTATTTTAGGCAATGTCCATACTCTTTTCTATTGTAGTCATAGAATAATAAAACCATAGAGTTGGAAGTGACCACATGGACCATTCAGTCCATACAGGAAAAGCACAAAGTACCCCCAACAGATGGCCATCCAGCTTCTGCTTAAAAGCCTCCAAGGAAGGAGCTTCCACCACACTCTGAGGCTGAGTGTTCCACTGCTAAACAGCTCTTACAGTCAGAAAGTTTTTCCCAATATTCAGGTGGAATCTTCTTTCCTGTAATTTGAACCCCTTGCTCTGAGACCTAGTTTCCAGCACAGCAAAAAACAATCCTCCCCCCGCCCTTCCTTACAACATCCTTTAAAAGATGTAAACATGGTGATCATGTCTCTTCTCAACATTCTCTTGTGCATACTAACATACCCAACTATTTAAGTCACTCCTCATAGGGCATGGTCTCCTCTGGACACATTCCAGCATGTTAATATATCTCTTGAGGCAGGCCCGTAGCCAGGATTTTGTTTGGGTGGGGGGGCTGAGTTTGAGTGAAAGAGGGTCTACCCTAGCAAATCTTTTGTATCGTTACCCCAATACCCCCATGCATATGGGATATATTGAGCATGGTGATCAGATCATGATATGAATAAACATAACAGTTTAAATAATGTACCAGTAAGGCCTTCTTGCAGACCACCATGAGAATTTGGGGGGGGGGGGGCTGAGGCCCCCAAGACCCCCCCGGCTACATGCCTGTCTTGAGGGATTCAGAATTGAACACAGTATTCTGGTTGAGGTTTGATCAAATAACCATTACCTCCCTTGAACTAGACAAGGCATTCTCAAACTGTATCCCTCCAGTTGTTTGGGCCTCCAACTCCCAGTATTCCTGACCATTGTACAAGCTGACGAGGGTTTCTGGGAGTAGGAGACGCAAATAGCTGGAGGGCTGCAGTTTGAGGATGCCTGATCTAAATACTATACTCCTTTTGATGCAGCCCAAAATCCCATTGGCTTTTTTAGCTGCTGCATCACACTGTTGGATCATGTAACACGGGCCTATGAGAGAAAGAGGTGGAAGGGTATGAAAGGATGTGTTCTCTGTGAGGCAGCATTGACATCCCCATCATTCGTTCTCCTCTCCTGAGCTGCACTTCTAGTTACTTGTTGATATTTTGGCAAAGCCAAATATTATTTGGATTGCTTCAATCCCAGGCCCCATCCTTCAACACATGCTAGTTCCCCTTGGAAAGACCTCTGTGGGCATCCAGGAAAAGTGGCAATACTGGTAAATGTTTCTTTGAAAGGGGTGGCCATATCTTTGAGTCAGTCTGTTAAATGAAATCTCTCCCAGCACATATAAACACATACACGTAGCCTTCTAATCTTGATTTGCAATCATTGCAGATATCATTGGATCCAGCCATCTACAAAGGAGTATTATTTTGACATTGCTGGCATATTTTTCTATAACAGATGTGCTGTTCCCAGGACACTCTTGAAAGTATTTCATATGTACATTGCAAGAGCCACTCGGGTTGATTGCATTCATTATGCCAAGGGAACCTTTAATCTTTTCTCAGATGTATTGTAATTTATAACTGCAGATAAAGTGAATACAGTTGTTACCTAGTTTTGGTAAAGGGATTTCAGCTTGTAATAACCCATCCGTTGGTACAGTATTATTATCATAAAGTTGTTTCTAGTTATCAAATGATGATGATCTTTAGTCAACTGAATGCAAGAACATTCCTTATACATCTCAATAGCATTAGTTAAATCAAGCTACAGTAGTGTTGTAGCCAATATCTATTTAAAGCTAGGGAGAATGTTCACCTTCATTTGTAGATTTTGTGCACAACAGTTAAATCTCAGGTATAAAAGAGTTTGCAGTTTTGTTCAAGAAGTTCAGCATAAAATTCAGGAGATATCCTAGGTAGAGCTTGAGCAGGGGGGAACCTATGCACGGTAAGAAAATTATTTGGATCAGTTGTCAAGTTGGGTCCAGGAAAAAATTAAATGGGGTCTCCCTGAATACATTGGCTAAGACTTTCTCCACGTAGACATTCCAAAGGACATGATTATATCCATAACAGTCAACTTTGCCCAATAAATATTCATGTCGGATTGTCCCCAGATAATGGGTCAGTGTAGATCCGCCCATAGTCTACTTACATTGGTTATGTAGGCCAGGTCACATTGGAAGTTCTGTACTCCTGAAACATGGCTATGTCGACTAGTCTGAATAGAACACTGGCAAATAAATCATAGTCAAGAAACTAAGGTTAGATTGCTGCCAGATATCAACATGTTGAAAAGACTTAATAAAAATATAACATATCTGTGGCATGATGGATGAGCTATTCTGGCTTTTCTCTCCCCTAATAAGCCATGGATTAGTCTTGTCCTATGACTCATCAGGGAACAGACATGCCAAAGTTTTCACTCTTATTTCATGCTAACAAATTATGCATGGAAGTTCCATGTATTACACTGGCCAACACACACTTTAGTGCCTCAAATGTGTCTAGGGAAGCAAGGTCAGGAGAAGATCTTAGTTCAGAGGATGATAATAAAACTCTAGGTGGACAGTCTAATGAGCAGTTTGATAGGAGATTTCCATTCCGTCAGCATAGGGCTTTTCAAGAGAGAGTACGAAGGTCAAGATGCTTATTAGACAAGAAATCTTTAACAGGTTTCCAGGGGTGAAGGCATGATTTTCTCTCTATATTAGGTAGCCCAGCAGATTGGCCCATTAGTCCAGGAAACATTGGTGTTGAGTAAAGATCTATGGCCAAGTCAAGGGATTTCTAGTTCCTTTTGTTCATGTTTCATGAGCAGGAGTAGGGCCTCCCCTGATGATGTTAGGGATCGGGCAGGTTGGTACGAGGAGATGCGGTCAGATAAATAAGTTGGACCTGAACTGTTTATACATAGGGTTGAATACACAAGTATATATGGTAGATGCATATTTCCTTAGACTATATTTAGTCAGACTTTCTCCATAATTGTTTTTAAGAATGCAGCCTTATTAGTTCTAACTTAATTCTGTTGTTATAGTTTTAATTCATTCTTAGACAGATTCTTAAATACTGTTAAGCAGAGTTATATATTTCTTTTTATATGCAATGTTTTATATTTACAGGCTCTTGCAGACCAGTTTGAAGACAAGAAAACATCCATTTGTGAGCGCATGAAACTTTTCTACAGCTGCCAAGTTCCTCCCCACTGGGCTATACAGGTACAAGTAACTGACACATTACTTTGTTGATAGACTTCATATGCCATTGATTTTTAGCAACTCAGTTTGTGATGAGACAGTGCAGAATTTCTTCTTCTTTGGATAGCATTGAGACTGTTAAGATATTCCTTTCAGTGTTACCATTCTGCCATCTCTTCCAGTTTCCCTTGCAGTGTTAAATCATTTATATGAACCCTTAAAATAGAACGACTTACTCAGTTTATAGTATAAGACAAATATTTAGTATCCTTTTGTTTCAATATGTGTTTAAGAATTCGTGGTCCAGAATTATTTTAAAAGGCATGTTAACAAGATTATTGAGTGATGACACATATAGCCACAAACATAGAAGTTTAAAATCTAGATTAATATGAAATCGTGGATGTCAGTGCATCATTTTTTTAGCTTAAAACTTAGATTCCCCGTCTGTTTTTTTCTGACATAATAGAAACCATTTTTCCCTATGACTTCCCCCCAGCTTTCCTTTCAAAAGCAATTCTCATTCACAAAACTCAGTATGGTTTTCATTTCTTGTTGGCTAGCTTTTATTTCAGGCCAGACCAATATTCTGAGTCCCAGTAAGTGGTGATTTGTTAATGATAGTGGTTGCAACGTTATCCTGGATAGTATAGCATCTCATAATGTTTTTGCCATACTTAGGCTAGAAATCATTAATAATAAATAATGTGTGATCAGTTACTGTCAAGAATCATATGTCCTCAGCTCTGCCCTTTCTGGGAATTCAAACTCTCCTGAGTCCACATGTATCTCTCTTCACTTTCACTTGGGTCTCCCAAAAGCCCACGTAAAAGGAAACAGGAAAAGACCGTGCTATAAGCCTGTCAGCATTTCCCATGTTGAGCCTCTTGGCTCTGCTCCAGACCTACTCATTCTTTTGCTTGTTCTGTCTCCCTGAATCCTATTTTTGTCAGCCAGCCTGTTTCCTTCTCTCTTGCCCTTGACTCTTCCCTGGTCCTGGTTAAATCTTGCATCCGCTGCATTGCTTCTAGATGTTGTGCATGCAGTATGGCAGGTCAGCTGGAGATAATTTAGGCCAGAGAAGCTGACCTACTTAGGTTCACCATGTTGATCTCATTCTCGGCTGTCAGTTTTAACAATCAGCAATTTAACCCGCTATTCCTAGGCTAGTGAAATCACAAATGCATGATGTTTCTAAGTGTCTTGATAAAGTTCATTTTTGAACTTATTAAGTCTGTATTCCTAGGTAGGTAATTTAACGGGTTCCATTATATTAGGTATAAGGTAACAAATACGTTATATTATAATTACTAAATATTAATCGATGTTAATATTATTAAACAGTAAGTGGTCCAGCCATTAATATATAATTGGAAGATGACTTCATTGTATTATTACATTTACTGTTTCATGCAAGATTTAGTTTACATATACATATGCACAATCTTACTTCCATAGTTGTGTCCAATTTAGTATTTGTCTTTTATAGGTTTTCATATTGTATTGATTTTTAAGTGTTCTCTGCTTTGAGTCTGAGTCCTGAGGAAAACGTGGGTGCAGTTATAATAATAATAATCATCATCATCATCTTCACTTTAAGTATCCCAGCCTTTTACTCAGCTTCATCATGAAAGTGTTTGATGCCTTTATTTCACATATTAAATTAATTCATTTAGCACAGATGGATTTTTAATGGCCCCATTTCTTTACAATTGTTCCTTCCTGAGATCTTGTGAGTCACATGATGTATATATGGCAATTGCACTTATAATTTATCTTCCTAACAACTAAAATTAAGCATGCCCCTACAGTAACTCCTGTGGCACTTGTGTGGCTTGAGACAGCTTTGGAGGCAGGATACTATCCTTGCTCATGTCACATGATTTGTGTCACACAAAGTAAGATATATCCCTATTTTCAGGGAATAAACCCTCCAGCAACACAAATATCTTTCAGGTTATAATGGCAAAACATGACTAGATAGCTATGCCTTAGTAGCTACCAGATCCGGCTATATACAGCTACATTTAAGACAATATGGGACTTTTCAAAGCCAAGCATCTCTGAAGAAACACACAAAATAATACAGAAAATCTCAAATTAGTAAAATTCTTCATCAAAAGGCCATATTTTTCTCTCTTTATGCCTACAGTAGGTGTCTAAATTTATGTTAAGCCAAAACCTTTATTTTCAGTAGATTTTTGTGTTGGTCCCCCCCCCCCCCCAAAACATACGTATTTCATAACCGATCTTAAGATGACCTATTTTCCATCTAATGTTCTCATCAGCACTTTAAAAAGGTTTTTGGTTTTTTTTTTTCAGAAGAAAAAAGTATAATTTGATTTTCTTTTCCTAATATTTTCCTTTGCAGCGTCAGCTTGCAGGCTTACTTTTTGACCTCGGATGTACCAGTTCGGCTCTACAGATCTTTGAGAAACTTGAAATGTGGGAAGATGTAGTTATCTGCTATGAGAGATCAGGACAGCATGGGAAGGTAGAGTGCTTCTGTTGTACAGTATTTGTGCCTTTGTCCCCCACAGTGCGGAGGGTATGAAAAAAAGAAAAAATGAGAGACACAGTGAAAGGGAGAGGCTACTGGAGGTTTTAGTAAATGGTTTTCAGATTTAATTGTGGTTCTCCAAGGCATTGCATTTGTTGTATGTTTTGTTTTGGCTGACATTTAATTCCCACATTCTCCACCCAGAATCCAATTTTGAAGTCATATCCTAATTTCCAGTGTTGGAAGGCAGCATTTGCAACAAACTTCATTCCCAGCAATATGCATGTTCTGACAGTATTCAAATTCTGTTATGAACACAATTATATGCTTAGATATTTGATGCAAATATGTAGTTTTTCCAAATTTATGGGAGCTTCAAACTTTCACCACAACTGAGTTACCTGCTGAACATCCCTAAAATCATCCACATGAATAGCAGAGATAGTGACACCTTTGCTTTCTGCTGGCTCAGTGTGGACACACTTTGTTTCATGCACTATATTTTTTTTAAATCTATATTACTACATTTAGGCTATGTGTGTGTATAATGCACTTTAAATTAATTTCATGTTTGGCTTTAGTTTTATTTATTTATTTATTTCGAGGTTTTATATACCGATCCTCTCACCTTCAAAGAGGGATTCGGACCAGTTCACAACATGTGTTAACATACAAAGAATATACAATAACAACACAATGCCACTTCATAACATGATTAAAATATCAGCACTATACACATTAAAACATTATCATCACAGTTAAAAGAGCCAAATCGTCCAACTCCATCACAATCCCATTCATCATCCTCCTTTCATGTGGGCGAAGAATTAAATCAGTTGTCAAATGCCGCATTCCACAACCAGGTCTTTGTTAGTTTCCTGAACGTCATGAGGGAGGGGGCAGTTCTGATCTCAGTTCCCATCTCCAAGATGTTTCACTATATATGTATATGTAAATACAAGTATTCTAAAATCCAATAAACCTCCAAATCCATAAAACTTCTGATCCCAAGCATGTTAGGTAAGGGATATTCCATGTGTGTATTACTGCTGTGACATTATATATGAGATAGTGTTTCATGTATTATCATACATTACATCACCGCTTATGCCACTTAAAAAATTTGGTCAAGTTAATAATGTAACTATAGATCTGAGAATTTAATTACTTTGACTGCTATAATGTCCAAATATAGTCTGATTCCTTGATTTACTATGAGGGACAATATTTTAATTATCTACAAATTGTTTCCAGAGTTAATTACACTCAGCTCTATACATTTGCTAGGGTTAGGGGCACAGGATCCCCAACAAATAGAAAATTGTGAATTAAGAATAGCCATTTTTATCTGAGCCAACACCTTTCTAGGAATTTCTAGATCATCCAACATAACTCTGTGGTCAGCTTCTGCCAGGAGCTGACCATAGAATCATATTGGAGGATCTAGAGATTCCTCTAGATCTCTAGAAGAACCTGTGAGTTCCTCAACCTGTGAGTCCCCAGGTGTTTTGGCCTACAACTCCCAGAAATCCCAGCCAGTTTACCAACTGTTAGGATTTCTGGGAGTTGAAGGCCAACGCATCTGGGGACCCACATGGTGAGAACCACTGTTCTGGAAGTACACCTTTTAAATTAAATCCATAAATAATCAAATCTGCAAAAATCAAAACTGGAAATATAACAAATATGAAGGGGTCACTGTATATAATAATAGCAAAGTAGGATTCATAAAGGAATATTTGGATTACAAATGCCATCAACCTGTGGGATACAATATTCCTGAATCAGTTTAGTTTGTAGACAGTTTTGTGATTGGAAAAGTAGTGAAGATTAATATATGTTTTGATCATTCTTACAGGTATTAAATCTGAATTATTAGACCATCAGCACTAAAGTAGTCTTTAAATCATCTATCCCAGATACTTCAAAGGTGCAGAGTGGTTGTTAGTTTACTGAGCTGCTGTATTTTCCTGTGCCACTTTCAAAATAGATAGGCATATTAGCAGAACCTTTTGGAAGTCTCTGTCACAAAGGTAATGAACTACTGAAGATGACAAGCCTAGGATCTACAAGTTCAAATCTTTTGATTCTTTGGAAACAAATAAACCCAAAGAACGAGTGCTTGAATAATTGATTTGGAATTGTTAGGCTGCTGTTGCTGTATGCATTTGAGTCTACCACTTGCTCCGAATTCCCTCAAGAGAGAGAAAAACAAAGAGTCTTTTACAGCAGCCCAAGTGTTTTGGCCACACTCTTGAGGGTCTGTAAAACATCACAGAAAAGCACTTGTTAATGAGAATGTGGAAACATTTGTGAGCTGAAGCCATCTTAAAAACCAGATTGGATAGATTCTGGGGAACCCATTCAGTGCCTACAATTATTAATTTATTTCCATCTGTATCTACATATTTGTTCTCTGAAGAACAAAAGGATATGGTGGTGTGTATTTTAAACATTAAGTGATTCTTCTCGGTTCCAAGAGCCTGTTACTTCTTGTGTCTAGAATTTGTGTCAGTCTGCCTTATGCACTGTTTGCAGTTCTAATGTTTTAGAGAACAGAGCAGTGTTCTTTTCCCGATGTCATTAATTTTCTTTAAACTTGTGTCAATTGAGTTACAGCCATTCTGTAAAAGAAGTTTTACCATCATGAGTAGGGTGCTTGATCCCTAAAAGCTAGGACCATTCTGTTATTTTTGTTTTGTAGTCATTAATAAGAGACCAAGATAATTAAATTCCATGGTGAAGTCCCTTTTTCAGAAATGCATTTTCCTTTTCTGGCTTTTTTCCTTGTTTTACTCTGTCTATAGAAAATGCAGATAATACAGACTAGTATTTTGGGTGGAAATCTAATTTCATGGTATTAATCACTTTTCATGGCTTTCTGTGCTTTGTAAATACTTAAATCTGGTAATTATAAACCAATGGCTATGTATCTTAGAGCCAAATGCTGTTGTCTTTTCACTTGTGCCAAAGTGATACTTTTGCCAGTATGATAATCCTGTTGAAAAGGAAAATTGAAGCCAATATTTTTCTGCATGTTAGGAATTCATTACTGCTTGGAGAGATTCACTGCCTACTAGCCAAAGATAGATAGGAAAGCAGTATTTGGAAAAAGTGATAAGGAGGATAAAAAATATTTCATAATTGATGCTTGCACAATGCTTTGAAAATGCATTTAGCTAAATGGGTGATAAGACTATAGAATACTGAAAACAAAGTTTTAAGTTCCATTTGAAACACAAATGGGAGCACTTTATCTGTAAGCTGAAGGGCAATTTAATTTCTGCTTAGCCAGGGAAGCTTTATGGAATAAAGAGCTTCCGTTTTAAGTTCTCTTTTTATCATTATTTGAAAAAAAAAAAACCCTGTAGGTTCTGTAAATGATTTTTCATTGGTTAGCGTACTGCTGGTCATCATGGGACTAACTAAATAAAGCAGGAGTGAGGAATACATGCCCTTGTCAATATTGTTGGACCAGCATTAATATATTAGTCAACATCTGAAAGGCTACATATGTTCATTCCTTGAGTCGAAGTGAAAATATTCAGAATTGTTGTTAAAATGAGTGCTTTGAGTATTCTGAGTTTTTAGCGTTACTGTTTAAATGCCTAGGTTATCAGAATATTGCTCCCATCAGGCAATAGAGCAGACACGGTAGTGCAGATGCATCAAACACTGCTATTATACAAACACCTTATTCAAAATAGAGTGCAAAGTACAGTAGGTCCCCAGTTTTCCTTGTAATTCTTGATTCCAGAGTTTTCAAGTTCTTCAAAAGATACCCTGGGTATTAAAATACAATATATTGTTTATGACTTGGAGGGCAACAGTTTGCATAGCATAACTGCTTTTTCCTAATCATGTTCATATTAATAGTTTTCTCTCAAAAAAATTCTCAGAGCACATCTATATTAATTTCTGCAGGTTTAGTGTGAAAATTATTTAGATAAAGGAAGAAGAGAATATATATCTCATGCACACTAGTAGTAATTTTAATGTGTTGTGCCAATACCAGACTGCATACTGAAGATTTAAGAAACAAGCTCAATGGTTTGTCAATTGTAGATCCTGAGGGAAATGAGACTAAATCCAGCAGTTAGTCCCAACTAGTGTAGACCCATTGAATGTTAGATCAGTCTTTATATAAATCCCCAGCAGATCTGGTGTAGGTGGAGCTAGAACACTTAAATTACATATGTACATGCCTCATGTAGCGTTTGATCACACCTAGAATACCGCAAATAAAAAAACCTTTTATTTTTTAACTGAGATGATACCTCTCTAGGAATCCGCAGCTCCTCCAATGGGACTCTGTAGTCATCTTCCAGTTGTGGGTCTTTTCAGCAGTAGAGATGGTGCTCCTTGTACTGTAGCCCATTACACTGCCCACATGGTAGATGCAGGGTCCAGCTCTCCATCTTGCCCTGTCAGAAATGAGCTTACCCAGTGGTTAGGAGCAGCTGAAAATAGGGCAAGCATGTAGTACTATTACTGGGGGAAGTCTCTAAGGAATGACAGACAAACTACAATGATCTTGTCGCGGACAAATAGCTCAGAGTAGTTTGCACAAAGGATCTAATGAACACAGTTTCTTTAAGCATTTCCACATCTGCGGCCAGGATAGACAAAGAATGCAACTGTGACATTTCCAACTCCTAATAAAATGGAAGACAAATATTTCCAAAACCAATATAAGTAAAACTGGATCTTGATATACTACTTCCACCAATGAGCCTAAAAACTGTGTATGTATTTGACAGTGAAGATCATGGGTTATCTGCTGACTGAATCATCCTGTCTCAGAACATTGCCTTTCATGTTTCCTTTCCATAGGCAGAAGAAATTTTGAGGCAAGAGCTCGAGAAAAAAGAAACACCAGGATTGTATTGTTTGCTTGGGGATGTCCTTAAGGACCACTTTTACTATGACAAAGCCTGGGAACTGTCCAATCACCGCAGTGCAAGGGCCCAGCGCTCCAAAGGCCTTCTTCATCTTCGCAACAGGAAATTTAAGGACTGTGTAGAATGCTTTGAACGCTCAGTGAGCATTAACCCTATGCAGGTAAAGTTGGTAAAACATATTTGGATTTTTAATGATAATTTTATAAGGCAGGAATGCTCAAACTTTAGTTATTGGGATTTGGCTGTTCTCTGTGCAGCTCCTGAAGCCAGCAGAATCCCATCCTCTGACTGGTTTCCAACTCTTTTCCCCAAAGCTAATAATGATAGAGAAATGTTCAGTTGGATAGGAAATAATTTTATTTTCACTTCCACTATCCCCCTTCAATCTCTAGATTTTATTAGGTTGGGGAAAGTGATTTAAATCTCTTTTTTTGTGTTGAGGTAGTTATAACATTTCAATGAAATTGTAGCTGAGTGTCCATTTTCTCATTCAAATGATTTGTGAGGGGAAGTCCTTTCTTGGACTGAAGTGAAAATGATTTTTTAAAAAAATATTCAGGTGTAAACAAAAAAATTGTAAGCACATTTGCTCACATTATCTCCTAGTATTAGTCCATTAATTTCTCGTTTAAATTTTGGTTCTTAGTTATATGTGGGTTTAACCCAATAGGCAATGGGTTAAACCCTTGTGCTGGCTGAACTGCTGACCTGAAGACCTGAAGGTCAGTGCTTCAAATCTGCGAAATGGGGTGAGCTCCCATCTGTCAGCCCCAGCTGCCCATGCAGGGGCATGAGAAAAGCTTCCCACAGGATGGTAAAAAAATCTGGGCGATGCCCTCGCAGATGGCCAATTCTCTCACACACCAGATGCAACCAATTTGCTTCTGACACGATTTAAAAAAAAAGATTGGAGCATACATGTCCATTTGTCTCTACAAATGTCCATTAAGCTAGGATTTTAGTCCCCATTTGAACACACAACTGTTACTTTAAAATGGATATAGGAATATGCTTGTGGAGTAAGGGAGAACAAAGTAGAGTTGGAAGGCATGTTTTCGTATGCAGACACAGTCACAATCCTCTGGCTAACACTTAATACAACGAGGGATGCAAAACCCTGAGATCAATTTCTGAAATCCAAAGTGATTGGAAAAAATGGGACTGACAAGTCTACTAATGCATGTGAAACATACAGAAAAACACAATACAGTAAAAGTTGTGTGCTTTTACTTTTAGGAATATATATTCCACCCTGTACCTTCATATATTATGAAGCTCTGCAAGACTTGGCTTCTTTTGTGCTTCAGAAGTCAGAGTACGCATATTTTTTTAAAAAGAGAGAAAATTGTAGGTCCAATATTAGCACTCACTTTAAATATCCCCAACCATTATATTTTTCCTGCTGGAAAGTTTTCCTCTCTAACTTCATTACAAGAAGCTGTAAAAATATATTTTATTAATCAAGAACACAAAAATGTGAACCATTTATTTCACAAGATTACATAATAACATCTGTTTCATTTGAGCATATTTTTTTTAAAAAAAACGTTGCAGACAACACTCCTTTATGTACAGAACTGAGATACAGGGCAATAGCTTTCTGTCAGAAACATCTCTCTGCATTTAGTGATTATGCAAGGACTTCTGATATATTGCAGTTGTGAGTGATTTGCCAGATTCCATTCCAGGCGGCATAATTGCTACGGAAGTCATGGTTTCTCTCACTCCAGTTTTTCTTTGCAATTATTTCACTGCTGGGCCTTCTAAAGCCCTCCCTCGGAGAAGCACAAAATGACTTAAACATACATCCTGCCATTCTGTGGTAGCATACTTTTTTTCATGGTGTGTTCATAGAATCACCCAGGTCTGCCTCTAAGTGAACAGAGGCACAGATGGCTTCACTCTTTTTCTACAGAATTTCTTCCATTCTAAGGCACCAACAATTATAAGATGCACACTAATTTCAGTTCCACCACCAACAACAAAACTTTATTTATATCAAAAAGCACCCACTATTCTAAGACACACCACATTTTTTAGAGATGTTTATATGGGGAAAAATACAGTAAATAGCATTTTATCTTGCTTTTCAAACTTCTCATCCTGAGACAAATCAGTTCTGTATTTCTCAATAGATATTAATGAGCCACAGCTCTCTCTTATCTATGCCTGGTTTATTTGCAAGTTACCTTGAAAAATACTGGAAGAATAATATTTATTTATTTAGAACATTTGCATCACATCCTTCTTGACCTCCAAGGAGGGACTCAGGACGGCTACCAACAGGCAACAATTCGATGCTGACACAATATTAAACATCAATAAAATACCACAATACATAAAAATGGTTATGAATATACATTAAAACAGTTCTCCAGGTTAAAACTTCATCCAAATCAGTCCAAATTGCAGTCCATAAATTCTCATATTCACCAATAAAATCCATCTTTTCTGCAAATGCTTCCTCCCATAACCAGGATTTAAGTTTCTTCTGAAAGGTCAGGAGGGAGTGGGCAGATCTAACCTCCTTATGGAGGGAGTTCCACAGCTGAGGTGCCACCACGGAGAACGCCCTGTCTCTCGTCCCCATCAAAAGCAACTCTAATGGCGGCAGGACCAAGAGCAGGGCCTCCCCAGATGACCTTAATCAAAATATTTCTTTTTCTGCAACCCTGGTGGCATATATATATATGTGTGTGTGTGTATATATATATATATATGTGTGTGTGTGTGTGTGTGTGTGTGTGTGTGTATATACACTAAGCGAAACATATATTTTTTCTGCAACCCTGGTGACATTTAGGCTGTCATTTTGAGGAATTTGTAATGCTTGGCCCACAGGTCTCATCATGCTTGACCATTCAACATTGTGATGGGAGTTGGAATTAAACAACTTTTGTTCAGTAACATCTCATTTAGAGAGTAATTCTTTGCAAATGGTCTGCGGTTGAACAGTTCTCAAGGGTTCATATACCTTTACATATCTATAGAAATGTTTCTAGTAGACAAGACTACATGTGAGGAGAGAACATATTAATATATAGTACTTGATTCAGACATGCATCACTTGGAAACCAGTCGAAAATTCCAGTTTTCAGTTCATTCCTTTTAGGAATGTTGCCATTTAATTCTGTCATGAAATTAACTATGTTTCCAGAGCCATCGGTTTCCAGAGTTTAATTTCCTTATTTGAGTGGATCCCTTAAACTTATTTTGCACTCGAGAGCCACAGGAAAGTATAGTTATTAGCCAAGAGAGCTGGCCTGAGTTGAGAAAGTGAAGATATGAGGCGGGAGTAGGTTGGTACATATCTGGTTCCTGGGCTATAAATTATTTTTATAGGACCTGAATTGTTATGTCTGAATCAGGTCATTCTGAAGGCAGAGTGCACTTTTTACCTTACAGAATTTGGACTAGGATTTTTATGTGGTTATTTGTCCTCAGGGATGCATTGCTCTGCTTTCGGAAATCAATGTTCAAAATGGTTGTATTATTTCTATGTGACAAATAGTATTAAATCAGTCTTGAGGAATGAGACTGTGTGGGGATTTCTTTTTACTGGGCCAAGTTTTGTGTGTGCGTGTATGTCTGTTTTACCTTGAATATTCAGTCAGTGAGGCGATCCATTCCTTTAAATTAAAGATACTGTTGGATATTTAAAGGATTCGCAAATCTCCATTTTTGTTCGCACTAGTTATCAGACATTTTACGATTACACTTTGGTCCCTGGGTTTCTTCGGAAGTTGCAATTGTAGGAAGAATATGTCATTCAAATCAAGATCTCTGTAGAGCTGCTCTACTATTGTCATAGTTCAAGGTTTCTTAAACTTTTTCTACTCATGACCCCTTTCTGTCAAGGATTTTTCCCCCCATGGCCTGGGGTATATAGGTGTATAAAATATATTAATAATAAATCCGTGTTTGCAAGGTTTGCTAAATAGGTTGATCTTCCTTTTCATGAAATACAGCTGAAGCACTTTCTGCAGAGTCCACTGAAACACTGCACGCTATAGATCAGACTAAATGCCTAAAATAGCCACTAGGTGGCTTTTGGAAAACTTTTACTGTTGCCCAATCTTTTGGGACCCCAACATTGAGCTAAGGGGACCCCATTGTTTAAGAAGCTATGTCATAGGGCATGTATATTATCTTCCATTATGATCGGCATCACCCCCAATTAATAGTCATTGCAGCCAATTTAAAATTTGATCTCTCTCTTTTCAGTGTTCTTTGAAGGCAATCTTTGTTGGGATGTCATTGTGCAATGTTGAGTTATGTGTGTTTCCCTTCTAGCTGGGTGTGTGGTTTTCCCTGGGCTGTGCCTACCTATCTTTGGAAGATTATGAAGGTGCTGCTAGAGCATTTCAGCGTTGCGTGATATTGGAACCTGATGTAAGTACAATGGGTGTGAGGTGACCCTCCATTGTCTGTTGACAAAATGTTGTTATTTATTATTATGTTTACCTCTTTATGGAATAAATGAAGTTGGGTCATTCAAAAAGGTTGCTAATGAAGCTAATTAAAACAGCAACACCAATTTTCTATGTTCGAGAAGGTTCAACAATTGTAACATGTCACTTTTTCCTTTTATCCTACTAATTATAGCAGTGTAACATGTACTACAGAATATGAGTTCTATAGATGCTTTTTCTCTCCATCCACACACGTATAAAAGGTCCATATGTTCTTATACATGCATGCACAAACTGAATTGTAATTTCCTAAAGGTTAGATCATACCCAGACCCGTTCATTCTTAATTACTGTATGTGATTTAGTAGTCTTGATACTACTAATGGTTTCAATAAAATTGAATTAAAATTCCTTTCAAGTAGAGAATTCAAAATCAAACCTTTTCCCCATCAGGTAATATTCTCTTTCTGAAAGAGATTTACAGTGACTATTTCATGTTCACAATAATGATGTTTACAATTATACCAGTGGTTTGGTAATTTGTCAACACACTGGCACGTGGTTTGGTGTAACTTTTGCTTTTGCGCTGGTTTTATAAAAAATAAAACAAAACAATTCACCATATTCAAATTGGCATGATTTGGACAAAGATAAGTCATTCATTGGCATATCCCTAAAACTTTCCCCTTGAGATCAGCAGAATCTACATATATCTTTTGGTGGAAGTATGCCAGCTTATTAGTACTGTATTTTCAACAGTTTTGTGGATATTAAAATCATTGATAGACAGGTCACTATGGATGAATGTGCAAAATAGTTTTTAGTAAGTTAACTTCAGTAAAACCCAATGGCTGACTTTAGCCAAGTAACACATACATGGTCTCAAAGAAAGGTAAGGCAAACCCCCTTTGGATCAAATCTTCTCAGAAAACCCTGTGATAGATTCACCTTAGGGTAGCCATGCGTTGGAAATGACTTGAAGGCACACAACAAAACCAGTAGAATGTGATACTGCTTGCTACTACTGTGCGTTAACTCTCCTTTTTTTAATTTGTTTTAACTGCAGAATGCTGAAGCTTGGAACAATCTATCAACTGCGTATATCAGATTAAAACAGAAGTAAGTACATAAAACGGATTAGTGACTGCTGTTTCCAAAGTAAATAGTGTTGATTTCCTCTCTTTTCAGCCTTTCCCCAATAGTCTGCAAGTTCTAGACAGGCTATCCATCATGATCCACTTTGTGATCGCCCCTAGTCCAAGCTTTCTATTTTGACTTGCCATCAAAAGTATCATTAGTCAGTTAGTGATACTACCAATGCAAAGGTTTTGGAACGGAAAAGCAACACGTTTTGTCCTATTAGCTTTATATCTGGGTGCTAAACAGAAGTGGGGTTTTCAAGAACTTTCCTCTGTAGCCACATCAGCCCCATGGAGTGCGGTCGCTTAATGGAATATATGCTAGCATACCCCAACTGTTCTAGGGAATTCTTTTGTATTTTAATTAATGACAGCATTGGCAACTCTGTAATTTTTTAGTTGTTTGTTTTCTTACTTTTCCATACAGATACATTTGAAATGTATCGAACCTATTGTTTTGGGGTAATTCTGATGTGCAAATTATTCTTTTATTCATTTTCTGCACATCAGTGCACACCACTCCAAAATTACATACCATGTTTTATATGTGTATCTTCATATGTTTGTATAATTTATAACCAAAGCTCAGGTGGAACTATACAGTTTTGACTGCCCAGTGGAAGAATGATAGGAAACCCAATAGGCCTCTGCTGAAGATTTCAGTTTTCAAGAAGATTCACATAGGAGATGATGTTTTTGATGTTTCAAATATAACCCGCATTACTTTATTCTTATTAGAAAGGAAGTTCCAGTCTGAATTTGAATGCATTCCATTTAAAACAGACCATGTGACTATATGATCCATATTATATGTACTTTTGGTTAAACCCTTGTGCTGGCAGGATTGCTGACAGATAGGTCAGTGGTTCGAATTCGGGGACAGCGGCTTGAGTTCCCTCTGTCAGCTCCAGTTCCCCATGCAGGGACATGAGAATAGCCTCCCACAAGGATGGTAAAACATCAAAACATCTGGGCATCCCCTGGGCAACATCATTGACGATGGCCAGTTCTCACACACCAGAAGCGATCTGCAGATTCTCAAGTCACCCCTGACACGAAAAAAAATCCAGCTGTTGAAGTGGAAAACTGGCAATTCAGTACTATGTTTATGGGAACAGATAAGCAACAACCTGCATAAATAACCATTTACTGTCTCCCTCTAAGAAGATGCCATTAATAAATCTTATATAGAGGATGATACCTTAGTTTTGTGTGCTTGTTCAGTTTATGTAACAATGTGTGGGATGAATAACTTCTTGATCAACCCGTTCTTTCAGAAGTCTGGTACCATAAGTAAGTTATCAAGATAATGTTTGCTTGTTTGGACTGTGTCCCATTCGTCTGCCAAAAAGAATGCAGCATTAAAACCCAAGAGAGAAAAATGAAATGTTTTCTTTTAGCAGTTTGGGTTTTTTTCTCTTACATCACAACAAGAGATTTATGGACTTTTTGGAAAGAAACTGAAAATGAGAATTCACAAATCTGTGGATGCGGAAAAACAAATTGCTAACAAAGTGCGTTGAACCAAAAGCAATAAATAAGTTCAAGAGGCCCTTGGATGTATTTATGGAACTTACAGCTTGAAAGATACAGTTGTTTCAGAGATTATAGTGGATAGAGTATACATACAAAAAGAGATACAAAAAAAATTGGCCAGTCAACTCCACTGGACCAGCCATGTTGTCCGGATGCCCGACCACCGTCTCCCAAAGCAGTTGCTCTACTCCGAACTCAAGAATGGAAAACTGAATGTTGATGGGCAGGAAAAGAGAAGATGGGTTCAAAGCCAACCTTAAAAACTCTGGCATAGACACTGAGAACTGGGATGCCCTGGCCCACGAGTGCTCCAGCTAGAGGTCAGCTGTGACCAGCAGTACTGTAGAATTTGAAGAGGTACAAATGGAGGGCGAAAGAGAGAAACATGCCAAGAAGAAGGCGAGTCAAGCCAACCCCGACCGGGACCGCCTTCCACTTGGAAATCAATGCCCTCACTGCAGGAGAAGATGCAGATCAAGAATGGGGCTCCACAGTCACCTACGGATCCACCGCCAGTACACTGATCTTGGAAGACAATCCTACTCGGACAACGAGGGATCGCCTAAGTAAGTAAGTACAAAAAGAGCAGCTTGGTTGTTCAAATATCATTTTCAGCAACTTGGAATATTTATATAGAAGCTTTTGGTTACATACAAGCATCCCCTGCTTTTCAGCAACTTGCATTTTGGCGACCTGCTTTTTCAACCAATATGAAAAAATATTTGATAGGTGGTATGCTCTTTCATTATTTATTAAAATAAAACTGAGGTATAACTGAATTAAAATACAACCAAATTACAACAAAATGAAGTATTGGGTTCTGCATTTCAACAATTTCAATTTCTTGGCAATGCTGTGGTCCGTAACATGTTAAACACATGGGGAGGTGTCACCTGTATCTCTGTGGTTTTAGGTATTGCACTCCTCAAACTGACACCATCTTCACCAGTGCGTTGATCTGGCCAATCCAATCCTAGTTGTACTGTAATGGATATTCGTGGTATGTTAAGTGTATGATCCAAACATTTGATGTTATTATTTATCTTTATTTATTTATTTATTCTTTGCTTTTCTCCCACGGGTGGGACTCAAAGCGGCGTACAAATAATTAAACAGAAACTTCATAATACAAAAACATAACATCTAACCAAATCCTAATTTACTTCGGGTTCCATGTCAGGAAAAAGGTGAGCAATACATAAAACAAGTGAATGTTTAAACCAGGTCAGCATTTCCTATATGTCTGTGTTATTATGTGTGGGATGGAGTTCTATCAATAGGGAAAAGAAAAACATAAACCTATGGTGACCTTTCCCTAATATCTTTTGCTTTCGAGATATCAACAGTATCCATTCTGAGAATTGTTGTCCTTTCATATCTTGGTGGTGGTGGGGCTCTGGGTGTGATAAGGCTTTTTGAGGTTTGAAGTATACTAATGTTAGTCTTTATCACTTGCTGAATGGTAAAAAGAGACTGAAATTCTGAGATTGTGTTTGGTATTTTGTAAAATGGTATTACAGCCTCATGGGAAATTCTAAAGGCAAAACTGAATCCTTGTATGTTTTCTTTCATTTCCCCTCCACCAGAATCAAAGCCTTCCGGACTCTTCAGGAAGCTCTCAAGTGTAATTATGAGCACTGGCAGATTTGGGAAAATTACATTCTTACCAGTACAGACGTTGGAGAATTTTCAGAAGCCATTAAAGCTTATCACAGGCTTATGGATTTGCAAGAAAAGTATAGAGATGTCCAGGTGGGTTGATTTTTTCTTCTTTTTCTGTTCTGTTCTTTCTTTCTTTCTTTCGTGCCCAACTACTGAAAGTAGTGAATAGAGTTTTTAAAAATAAATCCAGTCTAAGACGTTTCAGCCATAGTTCTAATTTTTCAATCCAAATCTAAACCGGAATTGCTTATATAGTCCATCTTCAACTGCATTTTAACCATCTTATAATGAAAAAAGTTGATATGACAGATGCTACACTACTCTGAGTGGAGCATCTGTCTTATCCATTTGGTAAAATATGAGAGTTTTACTCATATTATTGTCAGAGTAAATTCCATTCAGCCCATCCACTACAGTATACCAGGCCTATTGGTTGTCCATGATAAATTAGATTTTGAAGAAGGGAACAGCTTAGTGCTAGAGTCTGCTCCTTTCTATAATTTCCTAGCTGACATTTTGTATGTCGCAATAATGATGTAATCAGCATTATCATGTACTAATAGGAACTGTGGTGGCGCAGTGAGTTATATCCTTGTGCCAGCTGAACTGTTGACCTGAAGGTCAGTGGTTCGAATCCACACGACAGGGTGAGCTCCCATCTTTCAGCTCCAGCTTCCCATGTGGGGACATGAGAGAAGCCTCCCATAGGATGGTAACGCAGCCGGGTGTCCCCTAGGCAACATCTTTGCAGACAGCCAGTTCTCTCACATTTGAAGCAACTTGCAGTTTCTCGAGTCAATTCTGATACGATAAAAATACACTAATATTTTGGGCTTGTAAACATTATCTGACATAAATGCAAAATTGAAATATCCTGATTGTCCTTCTTTATTTTAATTAAAGATTAGTGCAAAGTCAGGTTCAGGGAGACATCTAACTTAACTTAATGTAAAGATTTGCATGTGTACATAAGTATTTCCCATATAAGTGGATGGTGGCTACCTTCCAGTAAGTATGGAATGTGTATGGAATACATAGAACAAAATAAAAGCAGTTCATACTTATACTACTGCTTGATAAAAACCTGGACTGTTTCCCAGGTTTGTCATTTTTAATGCATTTCATTCCTTCTGTTGTCTTCAGGTTTTACGCTGTATGTGCAAAGCCTCTGTTCAAAAACATCATCTTTATCCAGCAGGGAAAGAATGTTGTTACTTTTTGCCATGTTGACTTTTTCTTATACGGTCTTGTGAATGAAAGACCTCCAAGGCAAGGTTCTCATTTGGAAAATCAAAAAATCTTCTCAGATATTGCAAACTCAGGGCTATGTTTCCTTGATGGAGTTTCTCTTACTGTAATGCAGTTTTCCTGTTTTCCTGCTGCCTTTCTGTCTTACCAAGCATTATTGTCTTTTCTAGTGAGTCATATCTTCTCATCATATGGTCAAGATATGACAGTCTCAGTTTAGTCATCTGGCATCTCGGGAGAGTTCCAGCTTAATTTGCTTTAGGTTTTTTTTTTCATGTCAGCAGTGACTTGAGAAACTGCAAGTCACTTCTGGTGTGAGAGAATTGGCTGTCTGCAAGGGCGTTGCCCAGGGGACACCCGGATGTTTTACAGTCCTGTGGTAGGCTTCTCATGTCCACCCATGGGAAGCTGGAGCTGACAGACAGGAGCTCACTCGCAGATTCAGACTGCCAACCTTCAGGTCAGCAGTTCAGCTGGCACAAGGATTTAACCCATTGCTCCACCGTGACTCCTTTTGGATGCTTTTGGGTACATTTATTTTTCTTTTTGGCTGTCCACTGAATCCATAGAACTTTCCTCAAACACCCCATTTCATTCCTATCAGCTTTCTAACAAGACTGATTAGGTGTTAGTTTAAATACAGCAAGTTGTCCTACATCTCACTGAACTATAGACTGCTGAAAAAGGGCATTTGTCAATGCTTTAATGTTAATATTCTGAGAATGGCAAAAGCTTCACATGTTCTGTGAAGTTTGAACCATTTCATCAACCATGACAGCCTTTGCTACCTGTATTGGTCTACAACTCTCATTTAGTAAGGATGCAATCTGGGGATAGTAGCGTTTGCAGTGCATTGTAATTTGAAGGAACGACATTGAAAAGGCTGTTCTGTGGTTTTCATTTCCCGAGCAGCTATAAATGAAGTCCATTCAGTCTACAATTTAACAAAACCCAGACTTGAGCAGAGGAAACACAACCTGGCCATTTGCCCCTATAATATATCTGGAAGGTTTTATAGTGCAAAAGTAAAAGTTTTTTTCCCTTTCGATTATCAGAAGGGACATTTCAAAACAGTATAGGAAGCAAAATTAAAAAGTTTCAGAAGACACCTGTGCTTGCTAATGGCCATTTCCCTGTCTTTGAGTCTTATTATTTATTTATTTATTTATTTATTTACTACTAGCCGTCCCCTGCCACACGTTGCTGTGGCCCACATGGAGGTTCTGTGTGGGAGGTTTGGGCCAATTCTATCATTGGTGGGGTTCAGAATGCTCTGCGATTGTAGGGGAACTATAAATCCCAGCAACTACAACTCCCAAATGTCAAGATTCTATTTACCCCAAACTCCACCAGTGTTCACATTTGGAAATATGAAATATTCTTGTAGAGTTTGGTCCAGATCCATCATTTTTTGAGTCCACAGTTATCCTTGGATGTAGATGAACTACAACTCCAAAACCAAAGGACAGTGCCCACCAAACCCTTCCAGTATTTTCTGTTGGTCATGGGAGAACTGGGTGCCATGTTTGGTTCAATTCCATCGTTGGTTGGGTTCAGAATGTTCTTTGAATGTAGGTGAACTATAAATCTCAGCAACTACAACTCCCAAATGACAAAATCAATTTTTTTGAGTGAAGGACATACATTGGGTTGTTAGGTGTCTTTTGTCCAAATTTGGTGCCAATTCGTCCAGTGGTTTTTGAGTTCTGTTAATCCCACAAACGAACATTACATTTTTATTTATATAGATATTTCTATCCCACCTTTCTCGACCCTGAAGGGGACTCAAGGCGGCTTATAGCATAGACAATAATTCAATGCCTTAAAAACAATATATATCCTACATACAATTAAATAGACAATCATTTAAAAAATTTAAAACCAGATTAGAAAACATTAAAACATTGCCCACAATCATAGTCTAGGCCATTTCGGAGATCATACACATAATTTCAAGTCTATCTATTGCACTATATTGGTCACCAAAGGTTTGATTCCAAAGCCACATTTTAACCTGCATTCTGAAGGTCAGGAGGGATGGGGCTGATCTGACATCACTGGGAAGGGAGTTCCACAGCTGTGGGGCCGCCACTGAGAAGGCCCATGGAAAGCTGTTTACAATTTTACACATGGTAAAGTGGTGGCTTATCATATGAGAACCGATCTCTACAATAGTTTCCCTGTCATAGATTGTGTTATTCTTACTAAGCATCAAGGTAGTTTGGAGGCATTTTTGAGAGGCCTATTATCTTTTGTATGCAATAAGTATTTTAATTGTGCAGTGTTATCTAACAATAGTCCAGATGCTGGAAAGTGCTTTTTTGTTTTTAGTCAAATAAGTCTATCTGAAGGAACATAACATTACCCAATTTTATCTTCTCATTTAATAATGATGAACCTAGCAGCTAAGAAACTAAGCACCCATTTCTCAGTTTTGAGATTTGTCACCACAAGTGGGCTACAAATTTAGTTAGATTACACACACACACACACACACACACACACACACACACACACACAATATTATGTTCTTCTAGAAAGTCTATTTATCAGCCACATTCAAGGAAAGTAATTTGTTATTGTTGTTGAAGACATAAGAGTGTATTTTCATATCTATGGGTATATTAAATGTTTACTTTTTTAAATTCATGTAAACTGATCCCATGTTCTGTACACATGTAAGTAGCATTTGCTCAACCTTGTGGCAATTTTCTAATTCTAATTAAACATTATCTTCTTTCTAAGGTACTTAAAATATTGGTAAAGGCAGTGATGGAGGGATTGGCTGATCGTAATGGAGAAATAGCAAGTGGGTTAAAGGAAAAGCTCCAGTCCTTGTTTGGCAGAGTGACCTCTAGAGTGACAAATGATGGGGAAATTTGGAGGCTGTATGCAAGGCTTTATGACAACGGGCAGAACGATAGCCATGAAGATATAGAAAAGGTAAACGCTATGGATCAGATATGTTTTTGAATTAGTAACTGTGTCCTTAACTGATTGTTACCTATATACTTGAAAGTGAAACTAGAGATAACTTTAATCCTGCAAAGTTTTTTTCTTCCAAGTACTGTATTGAGGTGCTAGACTTTCTTCTAAGGAGGATGTATTTTATAAATTAATTCTGCATATCAGTGTTTCTTTGGAATTCCAGTCACTGAACCATTATCTTAATACAACAGCTGTGGTTTGTGTAAAAGAATATTTTCCAGTCATCAGATTGTTACAGTCTACTTCTGGGATCCCCAAACTAAGGCCTGGCGGCCGGATACGGCCCTCCAAGGTAATTTACCCGGCCCTCGCTCAGGGTCAACCTAAGTCTGAAACGACTTGAAAGCACACAACAACAACAAAAAAATTCTATCTCATCAGCCAAAAGCAGGCCCACACTTCCCATTGAAATGCTAATAAGTTTATATTTGTTAAAATTGTTCTTCATTTTAATTATTCTATTGTTTTTAAGTGGGTTTTTTTGCTCTACAAATAAAATATGTGCAGTGTGCATAGGAATTCATTCTTTTTAAATATATATATATATATATAATCTGGCCCTCCAGCAGTTTGAGGGACTGTGACCTGGCCCTCTGTTTAAAAAGTTTGAGGACCCCTGGTCTACCTAAACATAACTGGGGTATAGTATTATAAGCTATTACGCAAGGTCTGTCTTCTCCTTAATTGGCACCTGCCATCACATTGATATTGCCTTGCAGATTCATTGCTGTCTGCTGGGAGGCATTCACCCCCATACAGATGGGTTTCAAACATATAGATCAACTGTGAAGGGAGAGAGTTGGGAAAGGACCATCAGGCATAGAGAAAAAGATAAGAGCAAGAAGGCTTATGAATACCCCAGAGAGAGAAAGCAAAAAAGAGAGAGAGCAACTTGGCAGCACAGGAGGAGATGAAAAGGGAACATAAGTGAGATTAGAAAAACTAGATATGCTGGCGAGAAAGGGGAGGAAGTTGAGATATCAGTTACGGAGAAAAAAAGGTAAAGGGATTTCTGCATTTTGTACTGTGCTGTTCTATGCTTACATTTTCTGCAGACTGTTTTGTGTATTTTTGTTTGATGATGTTTAAAAGGGATTGTCCCATTTATTTATTTACTATATTTCCATCCTGCTGTATCTCACCCCAAGGGGCACTTAGAGAGGGTTAAATTTTGGCAAAATTCAGTGCCACATTATGCATAAGAAGAAGAAAAAGCAATACATAACTTAATTAACTAAAGATCAGTAGACATATAGATATGCATTAAAACATATTAAACATATTAAAACATTATAAAACATATTGAACATTGCACCAATCCCATGGTCATCCACTTTCAGTGATTACAAACATCTTTTTATGTCACCTATCCAACTTTCTATTAGTTCCCTATTAGTGTTGATTCTCATTTCACAGGTTGTCACAATGGGATAAATGCAAAATGACACATTTCACTATCCTAAACTATCTCATTTTTATAATTCAAGGAGTCTTTGGCATTGAGTCATTGAGACTAGCAAACAAAATTAGCATTACTAGAACTAAACTTAAGGTTAGAAACCTCAGAACATTCTCACTGTATATTCTTCTTTCTACCATTTTCAAAATAGGAACATATTTATGAGTCTGAGGATACAGCATTGCTAGTATACAAAATGGTTAATCTGATAATCCTTTTGGGTGAGACTTTTCCATCTGAGAACCCAGTGGGAAAAGGGTAGATTACAAGTGCAAATATCTTTAACATTTTAAATATTCCTTTTAATATATAAATAACTAGTACTTCTTTTCATATGCTTTCCTAACTAATTCATTTTCTGATGCTGGAATTGCCAGGTATACTGTTGATCATGAAATTCCACCCATAGTTATTGATAGAAATCCAGTGTGGTATATCAGTTTGAGTGCTGGATTAAGACACCGAGGGCCCTTCCACACAGCACTATATCCCAGAATATCATGGCAAAACAAATATCACAATATCTGCTTTGAACTGGGCTATCTTGGTTATGGAAACTCCTGGGTAACCTTGGGCAAGTCATGCTTTCTCAGCCTTAAAAGGAGGACAAGGGCAAACATTCTATGAACAAATTCTGCTAAGAAAACTTAGTTAATAAATCAGAAATAATGTAAACGCAGACAACAACAACAACAACAACAAGAATGTATTGATTGGGTTGACGGGTCTGTATTGATCATGATATAAGAGCAAATTCATTTTCAGTTCCCAAAATGTTAACTTAATTAGGACAACATGAAAGAGCACAAACATTTGATGAGCAGAAAATGCATAATAGAAGTATTTTGACCTTTATGTAACAATATAGTGTACTGTGCAGTTAGAAAATCTGACAGACATGAGACCTACTTTGTGTACAGTAACAAATGAAGCCCTATAACACAAAGCGAACATTCCAAAAATTCATCCAGCTCAAAATAAGAGCATTTGCCATAATTATCGGAAATGAAATAGGATGCATTTTATCTTATCTGTACTTTATGAATAAAATCTATTCTGCTTTCCCATCTTTTCCCAACTTCGTTTCCACCTGATTTAAGAAATGAAAACAACCTATCTCAGTTGTGCTTTATAAAACAATAATACTGCAGCACAGCACATAATATAATGTCTCATATGATAATGATACTAGAGTGGAGTATGTTGAAGGTTAGCCCCAGTATGCTGTATTTCTCAGCAGCAACACAAAGATCTTCTGTCCTTGATCCTTGTGAAAAGATCTTCCAAAATGATCTTTCACAGAAATCGCTTTGTTTGACAGCATTCTGTCAGATGAACTCTTGTCTCATTCCCAGAAAATGTAATGTTTAAGAATCCAGCAATGGCATAACTTTTGTACATCCATGTCAATGTGACTTTTCATCTCTTAATGTTCTGTACAGCCGAACATTACGTTCTTTGTTTAGTTTTAGATGTTAGAGCAGAGACGCTATAATATGGTTATCTCCAAATCTACCTTTTTTTTGCTATACAAAAGAGAAAATAGAAAAAACTGGACACATGGTTAAGAATATATTTACATTGTGGAATTAAATTAGATACACCACTCTCCCTGCAAAAGAACTCTGTTATAAATATGGCATAAATTCAAATTAGCTATCTAGGATTTTGATAATTTGAAATGAGAGATCCATCTTTCTGTCTCTGAGATGCTAAACACAATTTTCAATCTTAGGGCCCCTCCACACAACCCTATATCCCAGCATATTAAGGCAGAAAATCCCACATTGTCTGAGTGTTGACTCGGATTACCCAGTTCAAAGCAGATATTGTGGGATTTTCTGCCTTGATATTCTGAGCTATAGGGTTTTGTGTGGAGGGGGCCGTAAGAGTTGGATCCTGATTTTGATGAACAGAAGTCCACTTGTGGAATGTGATTTCTTTTTCTTGCAGTGATTCCTGCATTGCACAGGAAACTACCCTTCAGAATTAGGAGTTGGACAGGACACAGAAAGGCTCTGATAGGCAGATAGAAAATTAGAAATGGTGGATTTTTTCTTGCATGTGTAACACCTCATAAGCAATGGGCTAAATACTTATAATTAGAATATTAACATCAAATAAGTGAAAATAACATGAATAAAGAGCAATGAAGAGTTCAATTATCTTTCAGGGTAAAAGTATTTATATATATATTGTAAGTGTGTGTGTGTGTGTGTGTGTGTGTGTGGAGCCCCCGATGGTGCAGAGGTTTAAACCACTGTAGCTGCTGAACCTACTGACCAAAAGGTCAGCGGTTCAAATCCGGGGAGCGGGCTGAGCCCCCACTGTTAGCCCCAACTCCTGCCAACCTAGCAGTTTGAAAACATGCAAATGTGAGTGGATCAATAGGTTCCACTCCGGCAGGAAGGTAACGGCGCTCCATGCAGTCATGTTGGCCACATGACCTTGGATGGGATCTATGGACAAGTATGACTCTTTGACTTAGAAATGGAGATGAGCACCACCCGCCAGAGTCAGAGACTTAATGTCAAGGGGAAACCTTTACCTTTACACACACACACATTCTTCCTTTCACCTGGTGTAGGATTTAGGGAGGCTCATACTACATTTAAAAATAAAGTACTATAAGATTGTCTTTTTTTCAAGTTGAAATGGTTTTTGCCAAAATGAAGTTTGCATGAGCTTAACCATTGTTCTCCAGTCTCTTGTTTTTCAAATATATGTTAGACTGTAATTTATCATAATATCCGAACAGTATGACCATTGATTAGAGAAGGCTGGCTGATAGTTAGTTATGGTACACTAAACAAGCAACAGAAACAAAGGCTGCATTGCATTGCAACTTTAAATTTACCAAAACTATGAAATACAGCATGACTGATAACACTCTGAGTTTCCCAAGACCTGCAGTATAACCTACCTTTGTGTGTGCAATGATTAAGGTTTTGTAGCAAATTCATTTCTACAAATGGAATAATGAATGGGGCAAAACAATGTTGCATGGGATCCCATTTGCCAATAGTTCATATGAATCCTGAAACACAACCATACTTTGCTCAGCTCTAAAGCATAAGCACTCATAAAGTCACCTCTATTGTAAGGTTGTGACTATCCTCTTCTGACCGCATGGCTTCTAAATTGTTTCATTCCAGAATAGATTAATATCCAAGCTCCTCGTTTTGAGTCAGGTTAACGGTTGACTTGAGTTGAGTCATAAGAACAGTTGGCCTGCCATAGTCACTTTGATTTCCCAATCTGGAATTGCTGAGCTCTGGTTTTCCAGGCAAAAGAAAATGTTGATTCATGATGACTCACAAAGAGGGTTGTAAGATTCAAATGGGAAAAGCTCCACAAACCCATTAAGTATTAGAACATCTGAAGAAACTTTAAAATTCATCATTCATCACAAACCCCTTGTAATTTTAGAGAGAAATTTAACATTGCAAACCTAGCTGGGAAAAAAATAGCATTATTCAAAGACAAGCTCTATATACCAGGCATGGGCAAACTTCAACCCTCCAGATGTTTTGGACTCCCACAATTCCTGACAGCTTATGGGCTACTCTCCCTGACATGGTGCTGATTCTGCCTTTTTGAATGCCTATGTGGGGAAAAGGCAAGGGACTGGCGGCCCATTGATGTTTTCCCCTCCCTGTAGAACAATGTTTCTCAGCTTTGGGATCAGGACCTCTGGGGGTGATGTGAGGGGGTTGTCAGAGGGTTCACTAGAGACCATCAGAAAACGCTATATTTTCTGTTGGTCATGGGGGTTCTATGCAGGAAGTTTGGCCCAATTCTCTCGGTGGGGTTCAGAACACTCTTTGATTGTAGGTGAACTATAAATCCCAGCAACTACAACTCCCAAATGTCAAGCTCTATTTCCCCAAATCCACCAGTGTTCACATTTGGGAATATTGAGTATTCGTGCCAAGTTTGGTCCATATCCATCATTGTTTGAGTCCACAGTACTCTCTGAATGTAGGTGAACTACAGTTCCAAAACTCAAGGTCAATGCCAACCAAACCCTTCCAGTATTATCTGTTGGTCATGGGAGTTCTGTGTGCCAAGTTTAGTTCAATTCCATTGTTGGTGGAGTTCAGAATGTTCTCTGATTGTAGGTTAACTATAAATCCCAGCAACTACAACTCCCAAATGACATAATCAATCCCCCCCAACCCTACCAGTATTCAGATTTGGCCGTATGGGGTATTTGTGCCAAATTTGATCCAGTAAATAAAACTACGCCCTGCATATCAGATATTTACATTACAATTCAGAACAGTAGCAAAATTGCAGTTATGAAGTAGAAATGAAAATAATGTTATGGTTGGGGGTCACCACATCATGAGGAACTGTATTAAGGGGTCGCGACATTAGGAAGGTTGAGAACCACTGCTGTAGAATAATCCTTGACTTATTGGGTGACCCCAAAATCTATCATTGTTGCCCCCCAGCTTGTCCTTGACTTATACACTGGTACTCCAGTCTGCCTTCTTCCCATTATGGATTAATACTATTATCATACATTCGAAATAATTCAGATTGCTGTTTATGTGCACATTTCAAGAAACCCATCATGCCGTATATCTCTCTATCTTAGGTATGGAAGCAAAGTTTGTTGGGATCCTGCCCCTGCCCCCCAGAATACAACTTAAGAATAATACAAAATACAGATGTTTGTAGTATACTTCTTAATGCTTAGTCGGATTCTTTTTGTGGAAAATTGGAAAGCCTACAAACAAGGTTTCCATCTTTCTGCTGCAGCCAAGGTTATCTGATGAATTCTTCAGCTATTAAATTAAAGCTAGTTTGGTGTGGCAGCTTTTCAAAAGGACACAGTGTATCGAGAAACATCAAACTCGGAATATAAAACAAAGGTTTAGTGCCTTCAAAAAATTATCAAGTATGGCCATAAAAAGAGTTGTTAGATCATCATGCTCCCTTTGGGTGAAGAAATGTGGTGCTCAATTCTCAGCACTTCAGTCCATTGCCTATACAGTACTGGTTGGCGCAGAGGAAAGGGCCCAATATCTGAAGGTCACAGGCTGCCCACTCCTGCCTTAAAACACTTTCAGAATTTGCTTCTGTGTGTGGGAGAGATGTTAGAAGGCTACCAAAGTACATTTCACACGGTTTGTCCTTTTGGGAAATTATTGTTTCCATTCGATGTTTGATGTTTTGTCTTATGTCTGTTATAACAGGCTATGTTTTTTATTTAATTTTAGTTGTTAAGTTATAATCATGTTTAGATGTTGGGTTGTTTAAATTTTGTTAGTATGGATGTATTGTTGTTGTATTCGGGCATTGAATGTTTGCCTTTTATGTTTGGAATCCGCCCTGAGTCCCTTCAGTCCCTATAAATAAAGGTTTATTATTACTATTACTATTATTATTATTATTATTATTATTATTATTATTATTATTATTATTATTTACTGGCACAAAAACACAGTTTGTCACAGCAAATGAGCTATATATGCTGGATTTCGTATCACAAAATCACATGTCGAACACTTCCCAAGCGTCTAGGACTGTGTGATGTATTTTTGAATGATGCATGCAGATCCAAGCAAGGTGGCCTTTTGCAGTTGACATATCATGATTTTGTCAATGTTTATTGTTTCCAAATGCCGGCTGAGATCTTTTGGCATGGCACCCATTGTGCTGATGACCACTGGGACCATCTTGTACTGGTTTAGGCCAAAGCCTTTGCAATTCGATTTTGAGGTCCTGATAATGGCTGAGTTTTTCCTGTTGTTTTTCCTTAATGCAACTGTCATCTGGTATGACAACATCAATAATCCAAACTTTTTTCTTTTCCACAATCATGATGTCTGGTGTATTGTGTTCCAAAACTCTGTCAGTTTGGATTTGAAAGTCCCCAGTATTTTTTGCGTTCATTTTCCACAATCTTTGCAGGTTTATGATCCCACCAATTCTTTACTACTGCCAGGGGGTACTTGTGATATAAGTTCCAGTGAATCATTTGGGTCACAGAGTTGTTCCTCTGTTTGTAGTCCATCTGTGCAATTTTTTTGCAACATCTGAGAATATGATCCATGGTTTCATCAGCTTCCTTGCACAGTCTGCATTTTGGGTCATCAGTTGATTTTTCAATCCTGGCCTCCATTGCATTTGTTCTGATGGCTTGCTCCTGGGCTGCAAGAATCATATTATTATTATTTAAAAGCAGCATAACATGCAATATAAATTATGTAATCTTAACGGTTTCCCCCATATTTGTCCCAGGTTTTATTTATACAGTCTACTGAGTTTTTACCTTCTGTGCATATACAAACAAGATAAAAAGTCAGGAAAGGAGGGAGAAAACGGAATTGAACACAATGAGATACATAGTCATTAGAGCAACAAGCAAAAAGAATCTACACCAGCTTGTGCCAAATGTGCCAAGATAAATATGCCTTATGTTTGTGTATGTCCCTAAAATATCCTTTTCATTATGAAACAAACCAAAAGTTCCCATGTAAAGATTCATTAGCAGTCAAGAAATTGATATCACATATAATCAACCATATGAATTGTCTCATCTAGTTCAGCCTAGATCTCCTCTGAATTTAGTCAAATTATTACTTCCTTTTCTAAGGAGTATTGACAGCTTCCCAGATAAGCAAGACATCCCATTTCTGCTGGATTTTCAAAGCCACGAAGGCCAAACTGGTTGTCCATAGTTGACGAAGCATCTTGTTCGCATCTTTGTGGACCAGATACTGCAATACTGAATCATTCAGAAGAGATAGTTCTACTATTATGGGTTTTTTTGGTGTGTGTGTTTTTGTGTGTGAGGGGTGACTTGAGAAATTGCAAGTCACTTCTGGTCTGAGAGAATTGGCCATCTGCAAGGACGATGCCCAGGGGATGCCTGGTTGTTTAACCATCCTGTGGGAGGCTTCTCTCATGTTCCCAAATGAGAAGCTGGAACTGACAGACGGGAGCTTATCCTGCTCCTCAAATTCAAACTGCTGAACTTTTGATCAGCGGTTCTGCCAGCACAAGGGTTTTAAAAATTCTTCACCCTTGGCAATACTTCAGAATAGGTTCAGTTGTTTCTGTTGAGGAGCAAGATGAGAAACTAAGTACTTACTGATTTGAGAAGCTACTGGTGTTTTGTGCCCTCTGTAACTAATCCCTGATGTGCCACAAACAGCAACTTATTTGATCAAATTAAATGGAAATAATTTTGAAAGGAAATAAACATATTCATTGACTTTTTTCATTAATTGTGTTGGAACTTTAATGCTTAAGTGTTACGTAAATTTTTTTTAAATAAAATTTGCATTTCTGAAAGTGTGGGATGGAAGGTTTTTTAAGGTGCTTTCTTGGTTTGTTTTAGTGCTGTCTTGCTTAACTTACAATTGCTTAAATTTTTGAGCCGTTACCTTTGATCTTCTCCATTTCCCAGTATCGATGTCTATTTTTCTTTCCATACTTAGGAATGGTGCAGAGTAAAACTGGGATCATATTTCTTCTGCATGTTTCAGACATTTATCAAGCTTTGCATTCCTTAAATGCATAATGGCTCAAAATATTAGAATACAAGGGTTTTCCTGCTTTCATATGCATTTAATCATTGTGACCTAGCAAAATGTGGGTCATATCCATCAGTCTAGACAGATTTTTAAAAGGTAAAAGAATTGTCTCCTAAACACATGTTACTTATATGTCTGTCATAGTTGAGAGGCAATCACAACGAAAAACATCTGTGGAACAGCTGTAGCAAAGGAAACTATCCTAAGACTAAGGAACGGATGTATTGCCAAAATAACTTTCTTTTCTGGATTTACTTTTATTATTCCTTTGCAGGCGCTTCAATATCTGACCAAAGCACACAAATGTGAAGTTCAATCAAGGGATTGGGACAAAGATACTTCCTCTTTTAAGGCCGTAGCAAAAGGTGCTCTAGAGCTTGCGCATGGTATGTTCTGTTTGAAATCTTGAAATAAATTCACATTGATTTCTTCTTTTAGAGTATCACTTACCAGAAAAGGAAACTCTGGCTATAACCTTAAAAGGTATTTCCAAAATAGATCTGGTTTTTTAAGCAGGTGTTGTTGGGACTGCAAAGTCGCAGCAGCCTTATCCTGTATAGCCAATTAGAATCATAGAGTTGGAAGAGACTTCGTGGGCCATCCAGTCCAGCTACCTGCCAAGAAGCAGGAAAACTGCACTCAAAGCATCCCCCACAGATGGCCATCAGCCTCTGTTTAAAAACCTCCAAAGAAGGAGCCTCCGGTACACTCTGGGGCAGAGAGTTCCACTGCTGAACATCTCTCTTCCTAATGTTCAGGTGGAATCTCCTTTCCTGTAGTTTGAAGCCATTGTTCTGCGCCCTAGACTCCTGGGCAGCAGAAAACAAGTTTGCTCCCTTCTTCCTATGACTTCTCCTCACATATTTATACATGGCCATCATGTCTCCTCTCAACCCTCTCTTCTAAACATGCCCAACTCTTTATTTGAAGGATCTTGAGACTTGAAATCCAGGAACATCTGAGGAAACACTTTGTTCTCCTTGTATATGTTGTGATCCAAGGAAGCACAACATTCACGCAGATGTTTGGAGGCATGCTTCAGTGGTACTGAAAATGGAAATTGTATTTGGATAACTGTTTTAATCCCACCATGTGAAATTCTCCAGAAACAGTACCTTTCTATTGAACACAAATAGGCTCTCCAAGGTTTTTTCTTCTGTGCTGTACTCCATTATCCAACCTTGTCAAACTTCAAATATGTCTATTTTGGTGATATCCTTGATAGTTTTTAAATCATCAAGCTGCTTATCCATTACTTGAGAAGCCATTTTAAAAGAGAGGGGAACCAGACTTTTAGACAGATCTCAGAAAACTACTCCTTCCAATAGTTAACATATATACTTGAGTATAGGCCGACCTGAATATAAGCCAAGGCATCTAATTTTAACACAAAAAAACTGGGAAATCTTATTGGCTCAAGTATAAGCCTAGGTTGGGAAATGCAACAACTACAGATAAATTTCAAAATAAAAATAGGTATCAATAAAATTACATTAAATGAGGCATACAGTTTCTCCTCTTCTCTTGGCACAGCAATTCAGCTGGGTTGCTGTTCTGAGAGGAGAAACTGTGCGCCTTCCTCTCCTCTCTTGGCATACAGATCCAGCTGGGTTGCTGTGCCAAAAGGGGAGGAAGCACACAGCTGGTAGAAGCTCTGCCTTTCCTCGAGGACCCTCACTTGAGTATTACTCAAGTATATACAGTATATCGGTTCTCATTTTACAGTGATTAATAGGAATATCTTTTCATCCCAAAGAGAATTTAACAAAAAGCTAAGTAATCATTTAGCTCCACCATGCTATCACAGAAACAGCCACAAAACATGTATTTCACCTTTTTTCAATTTCACCTTTCAGTGGCAATGAAGTGCAGCAAAAACAAGACTAATTACCAAGAAGCAGTGCAGATACTCTCTACAGCTCGACTCAACTTGCGGGGTTTGGTAGCCAAAGCAAAGGTGAGAATGGGGTGCCTTTGTAAGAGAGGTGCCATCCAGGGACTGTATGGTGGCCTTTATGTCCTTACTAATGTTCTTAAGAACTATGTCTGTAATTGTTGTATTCCGTGTAAATCTTTGATGGAAAGGAGTACAGTACATGCATTTTATTGCTAGCTCTATTTTTGTTGTTCTTTTGTGAGCACATCCACTGATTTTAAATACACATCACTTATCTCTCTTGAAAACAGAGTGTCTGTTGCAAAGAGGACCAGACATGCTCTTTGGCCTACTTGGAAATACATTTTCCATGAGTCAAAAACAACAACAAACAAACTCAATCATGTTCCGTACTAACTCTAGATCTCAAAACAGCATGCAATCTATAAAATTAACTCACTCTAGCTACTTCTTCAGTGCCATCGGAGATTAGTAAGAGCCTAATAACACCAAATGTTGTTGTCTAATCTTGGAAGTTAAGAAGTATCCATCCAAGCTAACACTTGGATGGGAGACTACCAAGAATATCAGGTACTGTGGCCTATATTTCAGAGGAATCAATTGGCAAAGTGGCCTCAGAGTATCCCTTGCCTAAGAAAATGCTATGAAATGTATGGAGTAGCCATGAGTATTGGTGACTTTAAGTCATATAACATATACACAGGCACAAAATGTGCTATTTAGGCTCAAGGCTGTTTCAGTGTTTAAACTCTGATGTATACCAAAGACTTGACCCTTAGGTTATCTTCTGAAGTTAGTCTGCCCTTTATTTAGTGGTGTTTTTGTCAGCAGGTGAAGATATTTTTTTATTCTTCCAGCTTTTCAATTGTAGAAATATGTATATATTTACATTCTTCTATTGTTGTTGCCCTCTATTGTTTCCACCTTACTTTTTCAAGGCACATGTTTTATTATATTGGTGCATTTTTCAGTCTAAATTTTTAATTTGTGACTCAGTCTAAACAGCTTGGCCTTTGGGTAGCATGCAAACCTGAGACATGGTGTTTTGGACTTCAGCAGATTCCAGTACAGGCAGTCCCCATGTTACAAACATCCAACTTAGAAACAGTTCATAGTTAAGGGGTGAGATATCAGGAAGTGAGATAAATCTACTCCTTGGGTGGGAAATTCACTCCTGAAAGGTATCTCCACTGAAGCTCTCTCAGCAATCCTTGTTTCCACAACAAGCCAAAATCCAATTATCCTCAGTGACAGAAAGTGAGGTGAAATCTTGTGAACAGGGATACAGACAGCAAAACAACCACAACTGGGGTTTCAATCCTTCTCTATGCTATCCAAAGCAAAAAGATAAATATTTTTGGCTGGAGTTACCCTTTTAAAATGTACTTGTTCTGAATTACATACAGATTCAACTTAAGAACAAACCTACTGAACCTAATTTGGGGATAATGGGAATTGCAATCCAGAGGCACTTATAGATCTCAGTTTGAGGAAAGATTAAAGGAAATTTTGAAGTCAGACATCATATCCACAAGCTTTGTATCTAAATTCAAGCCCCACTATCCTGACTCAACAGAACTGCAGCCTTCTATATGTTACTCCCATCAGCTCTAGTCATGATGTCTAATGATAAAGAATACGGAATTGGAATTCAGCATCTGGAAGGCCACATAAAACGACATGGTGGGCTGCATTTGGCCTGCAGGCCTTGAGTTTGACACATGTGTTCTAAATAGACTAGCAGTATCACTTACAGAAATGCCATTCATTTGCTATCCGCAGAGTGACACTAGCATATCATCTTTGGTAAGGATACTATCCAATATAAGTGCCTTAAAAATAAGATCAGTGGTCTTTCAAAAACATTTGCAGTAGCAGGTTTTTCTCCTAATCAATATTTAAGATGATTTTCTTGTTTTAAATAAAGCAATACATTGTTTTTAATTTTCTTATGCAGCAGCTGTTTACAGATCCAGCGAGTGGTGAAGTTTCCAGTGACTTAGCCGAAGACGTGACAGCCATGGAGACCTTGATAATGGAACTGCAAGAACTTAGCAACCAGCTAAGGAATCAGACCTGAGAAATAGAAGACACACTCTCCTGGAAGGGAAGGGAAGGGCCAGCCTTGCACAGATCGTTAGCTGTGCTTTGTGCTAATGAGCTTGCAGTAAATCAAAACACCCTAAGGTCCAATCCTAATAAATATTTTTCTACACAATGCAGCTTCTAATTGTGATCAACATTGCTAAAGCTATAAAGTGTGTTTAAGGTCATGCCTGTTCATTTTCAGTTTGAGCGCTTGTGTGATTTCTGTTGGCCTGGTTTTTGTAAAACATAACTGACTGGTTTTTATTTAGAAGGCCTTTTTATTTAGGATTAGTTCTGCTCAAGTGCATGACATAATTGGCCCCTGTCCATGGCTGTGCACTTTGCAGATAGGCAAGATTAAAGAGCCCTGTTGATGTTGGAAGGAAGAAAAGGGGGGAAAATTTTGTTTGCTCTTGCTCTAATCAAATGGGAGGAAGGGGAGGAAGATGGAGGAAATTCAAATGATAGTGGAAATAACTCTCTTTGCCATTTAAAACAAACATGACACAGTAGGTCCCAGTTGTGCTTTTCTTTCATGTTGCGATTTTCAAAGCTCAGCATCCAAGAGAAGATGGGCAACCCCTTTCTATAAAATGTAGGATCTTTGGTGCCATCACATAGCTTTTCCTACCTGCAGCAACCTAATTCCATGATATCCTGTGCTTTTTGGAAAAACATACTCAAAGGTTTAGTAATTTCCCTGACTTCAAGCTGCATCTGAAGTTTATCTGTCACAGAACCAACTGAGCTCCAGTTCCCATACATTTCTCATGAAGAGGCATAACAATACCAATTGCAACTTCAAGCTGTAAATAGGTGGGATCCAATAACCCCTGGTTGTGCAGCGGGTAAAACCGCTGGGCTACTGAACTTGCTGACCAAAAGGTCAGCAGTTCAAATCTAGGGAGTGGGGTTGGCTCCTGCTGTTAGACCCAGCTTCTGCCAACCTAGCAGTTTGAAAACATGCAAGTGTGAGTAGATCAATAGGTACCGCTCCAGCAGGAAGGTAGAGACGCTCCATGCAGTCATGATGGCCACATGACCTTGAAGGTGTCTGTGGTGAACAGTGGTTCTTCAGCTTAAAAATGGAGATGAGCACCACCACCCCAGAGTCAGACACAGAGTCCCCAGATTTAATGTCAGGGAAAACCTTTACCTTTACTAATAAAATAAAAATGATCAATAATGAGAAATACCTTTACTAAGTCAGCTAATGCTGTTTAGTTCTCCACTCCATCTCTTTAAAAATCTAGGTCACATTTCCTACGAACCTTCTGTGGGAGACTAACCATCCTCCAGGTTTGGATTAATCTGAGATGTAATAAATGTATGATAGTAAGTAAAACTTTATTCTCTCCCTCCCTGTCTCTCCATGGGGACTCATGAATGGTCTATGAATGTGGAAATTTCCTCCAATCTTCCTTTAGATAGAATTGATCAACACTGGTTTCTCCTTTCTGAATTCACCTAATCCTTGGAAGCAGCTGAAATAGTGGCCGTTATTCCTTCTCGTGGTGATTTTGGATTGTATCAGCTACTTTCACTTTTCTTTGTCCTGAATTTGCAGTTTGGTTTAGGGCTTAATGTTCTCTGCGCAATTTGTAGTTATATAAACCCCTGCTGTGTATGGTTCTGGTTTCCTTTTTCAAACTCAAATTCCTTCTGTTATAAGAAAAATGTTTCAACCAACAAGCATTCATTTAGTTTCTGTTTCAATATCCTCTCCCAACTATCTAGGGCTGATAGAACTGCACACAGTGTATAATGGGTATTTATTCTATTGTATTTTCAGTCTTTTTCTTAATGGCTCACTATTGTGAATACTTTTTTGCACTTTTACAGCAGACTGAGTTGGAATTTTCATTTGGTGTTTCCTAAACTGAACTAGTACATTAAGGGGCGTGTGTATTTGAAGTCATCCTCATTTAATGTTTTCAGGTTTTCAAGATGTTATCTGATTGGTTTCCTACCAATCATCTTGCCCATTGAGATACATGGCTCTTAACTGTGTGCCTACATATATACACATCCAGATGAATTATTCTAAATATGCTTAGAAATAACCGCAATGCCCAAAAGCGGCCCCATGGCTTTATATTGTATGCCATCAAGGTCGATGTTATCCTCCAAAGTAAAAGTTTGCATGAGGCCTACAAAATGAATTTCAGTGTGGCCAGTCCATACCTGGTGCTTCTTCGTGCATATATTCAGAAGCGAATGCTGGTTTATCACTGAATGTTGCTTGAACAATTTGAATCTGCCCGATATACTGTACTGAGTCTGACTGCTGGACAGTCTATCTAGTCCTGTCTTCTGCAATTGGCAGTAGCTTCTCAAGTAAGTAGTTGCTTTGATTCAGATCTTCTTAATGGGAAGTGCACACAAAACATGCTTCTTGACTACCTCTTCCCTTGCTTTCTGTCCTATTTATGCAAACAGTTTGTAAGTGGATATGCACAGCATTTTGTGTACACCAAAATAAAAATGCTGTGCAAAGAAGCTTCATCTGTTAGCCATGATTGGATCAGGAATGCCTTTTCCTATTGTTCATCAGCTTTTTAGGTGCACTGTTTTATTTTGTGTCTTTCAGAAACTCTATTGTGAAGCGTTATTTTTCCTTTTCAGCTTACAGACAAAATGTTTTGGGATATCAGTGCTACACAGCTCATCTATGGATGTTCTGGGAACAGATGACCTTTTTAGCAGAAGGATTCTATAATAAGGCTCGTGCTTCAAGCTTCCTAGAATAGTACTTTCTTTAGGAGTGATTATTAATGTCCGTAGGTGTTGAAGTCAGCTCAAAAAGCAGTAAAACCTTTGTGTTATGGAACATTGTAATGTGTATTGTCATTCAAAAGAGTGCTTTTTTAAAAGCCTAAAACAGTAGTTATATGTTAAGAGGGTTGATAAAAAGAACCAGCCAGGGTAGTGTGCATTCAGCACTCTGGTGATAGATAGATAATCATGTTGATTTCTCATCTTTCCTATTTTTATTTTTCATTTCTCCTGTTTCTGCCTTACTTTGCTATTTTGAGTGAGCTCAAATAGCTACACATGTTTTTGTACACAATTTTCCCCAAATACATGTGTGTGTTTTTGCAAAATGTTTTCCATAATACTCTGTGCTTTATTCTCACTAACATATTTTGGATATACTGTATAATAATATATGTATTTTGTATGCTTTTAAAAAAATGAAGAACGGAATAACAACAAAATGTAAAGTAAGGATGTCACTTCATAAAGTTTTTGGGTTTTGGGGGGGGGGTTGCATAAATGTTTACTGTGATGTATGAGAAAAAACAACAACATACAATCTTCAAAATTCAACACTCAAAATACAAGTATTATTTCCCCTGTCCTGCCACTTCCCCATTCCCACCCATGACTTCCGACACCACACCAAATGGAACTAATATCTAACGAAAATCTGTCGTTATCATTACATTTTTTTTTCGTGCCAGGAGTGACTTGAGAAACTGCAAGTTGCTTCTGGTGTGAGAGAATTGTCCGTCTGCAAGGATGTTGCCCAGGGGATGTCCAGATGTTTTGATGTTTTACCATCTTTGTGGGAGACTTCTCTCATGTCCCCACATGGTTAGCTGGAGCTGACAGAGGGAGCTCATCCGTGCTCTCCCCGGATTCAAACCTCTGACTTGTCCCTGTCAGTCTTCAGTCCTCCCAGCCCAAGGACAGGGGTCCTCAAATTTTTTTAACAGAGGGCCAGGGCACAGTCCTTCAAGCTGTTGGAGGGCCGATTATAATTTTTTAAAAAAGGAATGAATTCCTATGCACACTGCACATATCTTATTTGTAGTGCAAAAAAACACTTAAAACAATACAGTAAAATGAAGAACAATTTTAACTAATATAAACTTATTAGTATTTCATTGGGAAGAGTGGTTCTGCTTTTGGCTGATGAGATAGGGTTGTTGTTGTTGTTGTTGTTGTTGTTGTTGTTGTGTGACTTCAAGTTGTTTAGGACTTAGGTTGACCCTGAGCAAGGGCCGGGTAAATGACCTTGGAGGGCCGTATCCGACCCCCGGGCCTTAGTTTGAGAACCCCTGGTTTAACTCATTGCACCACCGGGGGCTCCATCATTACACTAATTAATCCCCTGTTTGACTCTTGCAAAATCTATTTTTGTCTTCTTTTTTAAATACCCAAAGGCCAGTCTCTATTTTCTAGCAAGTTCATATTTGTTTCCTCCTCTTGTGCCATTGGAGATCTTGGCCATTTGGATATACCGTAATCCTTTTCTTCTACAATCCTTAATAAGTAATTCTCTATTTCCCCTTCCAAGATTTTGCTATAATGATTCTCGCTGCCACATAACTATATTGGCAAATTTCTACATCATCTTTGCCAATTCTTTCCTGGGACAAACCCACATTTATTGTTTTTTCTTAATCTTCTTAGTAATCATTTTGTTGGTTTCTTTAGTCACCTTTTCCCAAATTTTTTTACCACCATACAGGTCCACCAAACATGGAAGAAGATGTATTTCTGCCTTCTGCATCTCCAACATTTTCCCCTGTTGGGTTTTATCAATCTTATCCATTAATTCAGGAGTTATATAATTTCTATAGAACATTTTATATATGTTTTCTCTGACAGAACCTGCTATTAAAATTTTAAATCCTTTTTTCCGTTTACCCAAATCTATATTTTTTTCCTAGGTCTCTGTATCAGGAAATCATTACCGTTTTTATTCAGTTGTCTTCCAGGTTATACTTTAAAATATATTTGTATAGTGGGTTGTTGTAGGTTTTTTCGGGCTATATGGCCATGTTCTAGAGGCATTCTCTCCTGGCATTTCGCCTGCATCTATGGCAAGCATCCTCGGAGGTAGTGCGGTCAGACCTCACTACCTCTGAGGATGCTTGCCATAGATGCAGGCGAAACATCAGGAGAGAATACCTCTAGAACATGGCCAAATAGCCCGAAAAAACCTACAACAACCCAATGATTCCAGCCATGAAAGCCTTCGACAATACATTATATATTTGTATAACCTGGAAATCAGTCCTTTGTTTTCTTTCCCCAAAATATTTTCCAACTCCGAATTCTTTTTAGCAAACCCAATTTTACTGTCTTTCCTGAATATATTTATTGATGGATTGATTTATT